AAAGACTCAATTTTACTCGAAGATTAGACGACTCTTCTCATTTATTCAAGGAAAATTCACAATTTCTTTATCTAGTTGCGTTTCACAGTCAATAAATCTGTTGAATCTGTTGTTTCTGGTTGTTAGTATTTTGGATCTTAATCACTAGACTGTTGCAGCACTGAAAAGTGTGAGAAACCAATTTTACCCTCACAAGTGTTTGACAAAAACATCAAGCACAAAGAATGTAAGATACTATTTATAATTGTAGTTATGCAGCTCAGTGTACAAATAGTCACTACAAGTAGTCATGACAAAAAAAGCTAATTTTTATCATACAAATAAAATATTTATTAAAATATGTGGGACAAACTGACCCTAACATAACAGAAATAACACAAACATAGAAGGGAATTATTACATTTCTTGCATATTTAATATTTTTTGTCTCTGATAAGTTACAATAGAGTTGTTTCTGTTTTTAAACAAATCTTTAGTGTTTTTCATAGTGCTAATTTCTGGCAAATACAACTCAAACATCGGACACAACAGGAGGGTTAAAAACAAAAACAAAACAACCCCATAAAACTGCAGTCTCTGAATGTAAAGCTTCAAATTAACACAATCAACTGTAACTGTGCTCCATTGATTGGTTTTGAAGAAGTGTAAATCATTGGATTTGAGCTTATGGGTGTATTTACCAATCGGCGGGAAAGGCTGAGCGAAACAAACGTGTTAACAACATTAAAGTGAACACATGCATGCATTTCAGCACATGCATCAACCTTCAACGCATATTACATGATACTATACATAATAACAGTTATTAGTACTAATAGTAAGAGCGGTATGCTTAAGTTATGCAGCACATGTTCATCACAACATTAAGATGTAGACGTTTCTGAGGGCAACAGTTCATTTAAACGAATTATGCAAATGAGGCTGCAGCTATGCTCCGACCCTGATTAAAGGAAAAGCGGCACTCTTTCCAAAGGGAATCGGATCTCATCCTCGCGCCCGTTAATCAGGAATCACTCAAGACAATACGCACTGATGAGAGCACTCGTATCTGTATTAAATCTGAGCGCTGATGAATCTGTCATTACTGAGACACAAACACTGATCGCTGATGAGAAAATGATGCCTGTGTGATAATTAAGTATTAGCTAATGAATGTATGCGCGCCACAAAAATTAATAGGTCTGCGTGCATTCGATTCTGCAGTGGAATAATTGCTTCCTAATCTAATAATCACCTCCATCTCCTGAAATGTATTGCAGTTGATGATCAGCTTTAATCACTACGTCTCCACTCTGGCTCACAGCCGTCTCATGAAAACATGTCACACTGCAGTGAATGGGTGCCGTCAGAATGAGAGTCTGATAAAAACATCACAATAATCCACAAGTAATCCACAGCACTCCAGTCCATCAGTTAACATCTGGAGAAGACAAAAGCTGAGAAAAATCAAGCATTAAGACGTTTTTAACTCAAATACATTGAGTCCATAATCCATAATAACTCTTCCTCCAGTGAAAAAGTGCATCTGCTGTTGTCTCTCACATCAAAATCCAGCCACATATTTGTTTAGAGCTGTTTAAACGCTGCTTGATCTGTGCAGATTTCTCTCCTGATTCAGACCAGAACACTTTTTCACTGGAGGAAGTGTTATTATGGATTATGGACTCTTATTTTAGTTAAAAACGTCTTAATGCTGGATTTGTTTCAGCTTTTGTCTTCTCCAGATGTTAACTGATGGACTGGAGTGCTGTG